ATAATCATGTTTCGTGCAGTTGTACACCTTACCTTTAACTTTTTAATGTATTTAGATCATATTAAAAATTAACGTAATAATTACTATAAATGATTTAATATACTGGTGTTACATTCTTGGCTATAATGATTAAAATGCATTATTTCATTGGTTGAGTACCTTCTCTGTTAGTGACATTATCGAACGTAATCCGAATAAGATCTCACAAGGTTTGGACAGCATAGAAAAGTTAGGTTACTCTTAAGTTATATATTAAACTAAAGTTACAAATAATTTTTTTGTACATAAATCATTGTTTGTAATAACTATTCGTAATAACTGTTATTGTAAATTGTATTGCTGTTTATATATTGAAATATATCTGTAGTAAAGAAGAAACTGTGTGTATGAATCTTGTTCGCAAATATCATAAATTGGATACATATCATCATTTATTTAAGTACTAAATCCAAAGTGCAAGTTAACTCAGTTTCAGACCTTTCGATTGTAATACATAACATAATAAACTGGGAGCTCGTGTTCGAGATCTGAATCAGAGACCAAGTTCTATCTAAGTTGTAATGTAAATCATAATTCAATTTATATCTATCAGTGCCAACAAGATTTGATCATATCTGATTATCAAGATTTTCTTGAATCACCCTCCCTCGAACAAATAGAAAGAAATGAATTGCTCGAATGAACTAAAAAAGCGTATTGTCGAAATACTAGTTGATGGTGATTTGTTGCCTGAGGAATACTCTAGTGTCCTCACTAGCTAATCGGGGTTGAGTGATAATGATAAGTTAGAGATCCAGCTAAAACTGAAACAACTCGAGCTTGAACAAGCTGGTATCGAAGCCGAGAAGGAACAAGCTCGTATTGAAGTTGAAAGAGAAAATAAACGTCTCGAGGCCGAGCAAACTCGAAAGGGAGTCGAAAAAGAACAAGCTCGAATCAAAGCCGAGAAAGAACAAGCTCGTGTCGAAGCTGCAACAGAAAATAAACGTCTCGAGGCCGAAAAAGCACTAATTTAACCCAAAAATGAAATCAGGGTGAAAGAAATAAAAATTAAAATCAACATTGATCGACCAAGGCAAAATGACAAATTTGAAATTAATCGATATGTTAAAGTACCACCATTTAATGAAAAGGAAGTTGATAAATATTTCCAACATTTTCAGGAGGTTGCCAAAACCATGGAATGTCCCACCGAAAATGGTCATTATTAGTACAAAGTGTTTTAACTGGTAACGTATAAAAAGATTATGACGCTCTCTCTCCAGAAGATTTTACGAACTATGATAAGGTTAAAGCAGCTATTCTCAAAACATACGAGTTAGTACCGAAGGCTTATCCCCAAAAGTTTCGAGGTTATTACCAGCAAGATTATTAAACTTATATTGTATGTGCATACGAAAATGAGGTTTATTTTGATCGATGGTGCAATTCAATGCATATTGGCAACAGTTTCGACGAACTAAGACAATTTTGTCTAATTGAGGAATTTAAACGTTGTCCACGTGACGACCTCAAAACTTACTTGGATGAAAAGAAAGTTGAAACACTATAGGAAGTAGCCGCTCTTTCCAAAGATTACACTTTAACACATAAAACCACCTTTCATAAAAAGAAATTCTTGCAATCTCAATAAAATCATGTATCTGTTCAATCCACTAAAGTTAAAGACCCTTCTAAAAATCCAGCTCCTCTAGTTTGAAGTCTTCTGACAGTCAGGATAAGGCTTCTTTAAAAAATGGAGGCCTTTATGCCACTTTTGTAAAAAACCTGGTCAAGTTATCCGATTGTTGGATGTTTGAAGAAGAAAAAAGAAAAGAAGGCAACACCCGTTTCGTTTATGTCCACATATGGACGTAGTTTTACCAGATCACTCGACGTTGCTGATTTGGCCACTTATATAAAGGCTGATGTAGTCAGAAAAGAATTTAGACCTTTTGTGTGTATTTGTTCTGTGTTTTTGACAAATGACACTATCAATCCCATACCCATACGTATTCTACGTGATACTGGGGCAATTCAATCATTGTTGTTAGAAGGTATATTACCTTTAGATTCGAGTTCTGCCAGTGGTGAGTCTGTTATTGCTCTGGGTATTGAGGCTGGCTTTGTTAATGTTCCTCTTTATTTATTTAGCATCAGCCTTAGTTTCGGGACCAGTTGTGGTTGGAGTAAGTTTTACTCTGCCAATTAAGAGTGTATCATTATTGTTGGGATACAATTTGGCTGAAGGAAAAGTTGTTGCCGAACCTAAAATGGCTAACAAGCCGATCACAGTTTCATCTAAGGATGATGTTGTAGTTGATGAGAACTCCAATGTGTTTCCCTCGTGTTCTGTGGCTCGAACTCAGGATAAGAAATTAACCCCAAAATAAATGATACATAGGGATTCAGAGGACGACATTATAGCTTTATCTTAGACATTTTCTTGGATCTGACGGGAATCTTGTGAATAACTGACACCCTAACAATACCTCGGTGAGTGACAATTACGGACATGAGGGATCTGATTCACCAGGTGAAGTTCTGTTTACTAAAAGTAAGCTAATCAAGAAAACGATCTGCAGATCTCTTCACTATGTAAATATGCGCTCCCTAAAAATTAACTGGAGAAAGTTCCAAATGGTTATTTTTTTCAAATATGGTG